TTCATAGCAAATTATTGGAGTTTGTTGACAGCCAATGTAATATCAGAGCAGCTCTTTATCAAGAGCCAATTGAGAGCTTCAAGAAGCTGTTGCAGCCAGTTCACAATGCTTTCAGCAACTACTGAACTAGGCTCAGGCTTCTGTATAAGCCATACTCCTTCTGCCATAGGGGTGGTCTGGATTGTTGAGCCACTCATGTAGAATTTGGCAAGAACCTTTTGAACATATGATTCTTGAGAGAGATAGATTATTTGCTTTGTACAATCTCATTCAATTTTGCAACCTAGAAATCTTGATGGTTCACCTAGAGATTTTATAGGGAAGCAGTTGGACAGCTTGTTTTTGAAATCAGTGACAGTTTCTTTTGTAGGAGCAGCAATAAGAGCATCATCAACATAGATTATTAGTAGCAGGCCAGACTCTTCATCTATGAATACACATGGATCTGTATTCTTTAGTGGCTTTAAACCAATCTCCATGAGAGCTTTTGTGAAGATCTCCTGCCAAAGATGTCCTGCTTGCTTCAGTCTGTACAGAGCTTGCTGGAGTCTGCAGACAAAGCCTTTTCTTTCTGTTCCAGTTGGAAGGCTCATGTAGATCTTATGGCACTTAAGTATGGCATGCAAGTAGGCTGTAACTATATCAACTTGTTCACAGTGCATATCTTCAACTGCTATTTTTATAAGCACAAGCTTGATAGCTGATTCAGTGACTACAGATGCAGCAGTCTTGTCAAAATCAAGGCCAGGGTGTTGGAAATTACCACATATAATCCATCTAGCACAGAAGGAGATAACATAGCTGTCAGCATTCACTTTCAAGTCAAAAATCCATTTGCCAGGTAGGATCTTAGCTGTAGGATCTATTGAATCTATCTCAACTAGCTCTCAAGTATTGGCAGCTTCTAGCTTCTCAATTTGTTTTTCCATAGCACTCTTCCATTCACTGGCATATTTGCTAGTTATAGCTTCTTTGTAGTTGTGTGGAACCTTAACTTTGTAAGCTAGCAGGTTGGCTGTGAGATAGGAAGTGTAATCTCCATATAGTCTTGGTGATTTGTCTTTAGTTGTACAGCTCAATACATGTCTTGCAGGCTGAGGGTTCAGCTTCATTGAAGCCATAGGTTCTGGTTCGCGTGTAGGCATGGATTCAGCACTCTGTCCTGGTTCTTCCAACACATCTCTGAACATCTTGTTGTGGATTTGGCCCTCAATCAAGTCATTGTCACTATCTCCATTATATGAAGGCTCTGGTGTTTCTTCAATAGTCTCATAGACAGGCTCTTGGAATCTCACCATGTGTTCAGATGCTGAAGAAGTCTTCTGAGGTGACAGCATTATTGTTTGAAGCCATGGGCCATGCATTTGCTCCTGCATCCAGAAAGGTATTGGGATCTCAGGGTTCTCAATCAGGTTAGCTTCTTGAGCACATGCCTCCATAGGCTCTTGTGTTGAAGCTGGTAGAAACCTAGTAACAGCTTGCTTCACCACCCCCATAGCTTCCTGCTTTGGGAAGCTTGGAATCACAAAGGATTCTGTAAATCTATTCTTCAGCTTAGGATCTTTCTTTTTCAGGAGGTCTGGAATGGCATCAACATCCTCATTGAACTTGACATCACATGTATGTATAATTTTGCCAGTCTCCAGAATCCAGATCTTATAAATATGTCCATTCTCACCTTCATATCCAACTAGGTGACCAAGTTGAGCCCTGGATTTCATTTTATATGCCTTATTGTAGTTCACTCTATCCTCTGGTGAAATATGTGTGTAGGCTATACATCCATAAGCTCATAGGTGCTGTAAATTTGGCTTCTTTTTCCAAAAGAGCTCATATGGCAATTCTCTGCCTCCAGCTGGAGAGATTCTATTCATAATATAGCAAGCAGTTTGCAAGACCAGATCCCAGACTTCTTGTGAAAGCTTTGCTTCTAAAATCATGACACAACTTATTTCTACTAAATAGCTGCTGATTTGTTCTGCTACACCATTTTGCTCAGATGTGTATGGAGTGGTCACTTTGCATTTGATTCCACAGGCCAGGGCAAATTTCTTCTTAAATAGTGAAAATTTGGTGCCTCCATTCATTCATACAGTATCCACATAGAAACCTAGTAGATTCCTGAGCCTCTTGACATGCTCCTGGAGGCTACATGAAGCTTCAGCTTTATTCTTGAGTAGTATAACCCATTTAAAACACATGCAGTCATCCACAATTATTAGAGCATATTTGAAGGCTTGAAAACTTATTGGCTTTATGGTTTGAAGGTCAATGTGGATCTTCTGCCCAGGGAATCATAGACCAGATCTGTGGTGTTCAAGATATCTGCCATTTTGACCTTCCTAGTGCACATGCTTTGCAATGGAAAGTATCTTGGCCTTCTATTTTGATTTCCTGGTCTTTTGCTGCTTTTTGTGTGGTAGAGAATGCGCAGTGTCCCAGCTGTCTATGGAGAAGCTCTGGCATGAGCTTCATAGTAGTGTACATCTGTTGAATGGCTTTCTCTTGCTGATGAAGTGGCTCTGTCTTGAGGATTGTAACACCATCACTTTTCTTAGCATATCCCACTAGTTTGTGGTCTCTTTGTGTTTGCAGCATGTGGTCTACTTCCATAAAGTAGAGATTCAACTTTTCAGTCAACTGGTTTGTGGAAAGCAAATTCGTGCCTAACTTTGGGTTATACCATGCACATATATGGATCTTGTTGACAATGCCATCCTGGATGATGCATCTAATGTGTACTATGCCACTACCCTTTATGGAAATGATTTCTCCATTTGAAGCCCTGTACCAATAGTCTGTAGTAGAATCAAAGCTAGTAAAGTAGGCTTTATTGCAACAAATTGAGTGGCTGCAGCATGTGTCAACAAGCCAGGTTTCCAGACCAACAGCTCTTTTGAATATGGATGCCACCAAGCCAGGTCTGAATGCCATGCCAGTGAAGCTATTTTCAAATCCCATTATGAGATGATTTTCTCCTGTATTATCCTTAGCATCTTCACTGGAATTTGATTGCTGAGATTTGAATTGGCTCTGGTTTTTCTGTTCAGAATTTGTGTGCTATCTTCCTTTGGGCCTTGGTCTCATTCATAAATGTGGCTTTGGCTTCCATTCTTGATATCTCTTGTCAGTAAAAAGATGAGGGCATTGTTGTATGGCATGACCTGGAGTCTCACAATATCTGCAGTTGTCACCTATTTTGCTAGATATTTTTTTGCATAAGAATTTGACATGATCATTCCATGAGACTCTCTTCTGTGGAGCATATTTCTGTACAATTTGCTTGTTGGGGGCAGTCTCTTTGGATTTGGTTTGTCCAGCCATATATATCCTGCTTGGAGCTTCCACATATTCCTTTGCCTCCTGCACAAGATTTCTCATATCCTCATATGTTATGTCACTTGAGTTTGTATTTCAAACTATTGATAGCACACTATCTGTGTAGTTCTCATTAATCACTCATACACCCTCAATTATCTTGTTAATTGCTAGAGAAGGATGTAATGAATGAGGAGCTTGCAATGCCCTCTGGTATCATTCAAGCAGTACATCAAGGTATTGTGTAACTGATTCATAGTCATGTTGACATGTGTAGAAATAATTCTCCACCACATGAATGCATGTATTTTTATCAGGCTTTAGGAAGAGCTGCTTTGTATAGAATATCATAAGAGCAGAGTCATTAATGTCACCTCCATAGTGCTTGCTGATCCAATCTTGAGCATTGTCTTCCATGCTTAAGCTGAGCCATGTAGTGAAGGATGTCATGGCACTTCACCATTTGATTCATATATCTTCAGAAGCCTCTGTAGACTCTGGCACTACTGCATCATATAGAATTCTCCAGTCATAGTGGTTTAGCTGCAACCTGACAATGTTTAACCAAGTATTCACATTTTTCTTGCCTTGTAGCATGGGGATTGACCAAATTGTTGTTCCAGTGATGTCTGTAACCATTTTGTCTGCTATATTGAAATTTCTTTCAATTCAGGGAGTTGTTTCTCTGAACTGATGGCCTGCAATGCTGCTCTGTAGAAAGCCAACCTGCTGTATGATGCCTGCTGACTGTAAATGTGCACCTGTGTTGGTGCTAGCATCCTTCATATGTCCTGCTGGACTCATATTTCTGGAGGTTGGATTGGGGATTGGAGCTGAGAAGCTCTCCAGGTCAATGTCCATCATTCTGTCAAGGGTTTTTTCTCTTTTGGCAACTCCAAAGGCTTCAAAGATTCCTAAAGAAGGGCTCAGAACCTCTCAGAAGGACCTACAAGGCTACTAACCATATGTGGAAGCTATAGGAACCACAGAACATGAACTCAATAGATGTGTGTGCCCTCACTCCTCTCATCCAAAGGATTGTGGGATGAGAAGTGAGACAAAAACTCTGCATCGGATCAAAGAAGATCCGAGCCGCTAAGCTGGAGACTAACTACATAGAGACTAGTGTCTCGACAACATGGGTATCTGAAACAGACATCATGAACCAGTCATTTTTGTACCCAAAAAAGGACCACTATATTACACTCAAAGGCCACAATTTACATAAGCTCTTTAAGCAACACTGTGATTTACTCCGTACTGCAAGTAGCTATCCACCACATCTAAGATTCTCGTATTTCGTCCTCTGTACTCTGTAGTCTATAGTCGCATCGTATAGTGAGAGTCTAACGCTGAGGGGGAAATATTGCTCCGTAATTTCAAGGGCTCATGTCAACAGTTCAAGAGTTCGTTTTCCTTTCCGTCCACAGGTCCGTGATCTTAAGAGGCATATTAATTTTAGGGTGGTTAGGGGAGTTGGGAAGTTAAAAGGTTGGGTGTGACTTGGCAAGCAGAACTCTTTGATAAGGTAGAGCACTGTGGACTAGTCAGTTAACTACTCAACAGCACAAAATGCCCAAATTCATCCATCAGTGATATGTATGTAACAGTGTAAACACGTTGACCATATTGCATTTAAGATGTGGTGTCCCTTGCAAGACCTCTTTTATCTAGAATTCGCAAATTCAAAGTCAATAGTATTATTAAGAAAGAGATGCAATGAATGTTTCTGGTTTGTACAAGCGCATAATGGGCACATTTCCCCACAGCCACAGGCCGTTTTCAAGCCAGGTCGACAGACAGAAGTAAGCCAAGTTGGTGCGCTAGCATCTAAGATTAATAGCTGTGATATATGTTAGCTTTGATTCTTATGTCGAAATAACTCGGAACCGACGTCTGAACCTACCATTCGCGAACAGAGAGAAGGAATCAGCGTTATTGAGAGCCAGTCTCGTAGACAGACGTCGAATGGATCGGTATCCATACGCGTGATCTTTGCAGAAAGGTTCATGTACACCTGGCGCGTGAGCAAACTCGTGGAGAACGGTGGTAGCCTGGTCCTGGCCGTGGCACCTGTTGGTGAGTGCTGGCAAGTTGTAGAAACTCGGGCAGTTGACGACAAGATTGTGAGATGGGAGAGTGTATGCGAGCACACCGGGCTCGCATCTGTTCCAGTGGTCTTCACAGGCGTAGCGAGTTGCTCCGTTGCGAGTAGAACCAGATTCCCGGGAAATAGCCTTCAAGCGAGCTGCAACGGATCGAACGGCTGTGCGATCGGTGGTGTGGAAGTATTCTTGAACTTTACGCGGGTTGCGATACGCAGCGCTAGCAGCAGTTCCAGCAAGATGCGCGGAGTTGCGAAGGGCCTTCATGAGAGCCTTGCGTTTTGCGCTGTTGCGGCAGACATGCACGTCGCTACGTCGATCAAGGGGCTGGATCGCCCTCGCAACGGTAGCAGCCATCTCTCCATCAATCTTGAGCTGGAGTGCATTGCTCTTGAAGACCATGGCTCCAGTAAGGGTGGTTTGGTTGGCTTCCGCATATGGAATTGCACCCTCAGACAAGATATCGAAGGCACCACCCACAGTCAAGTCAGAGGTTGAGGCAATGTCGAATTCTCTTTCAATGCTTTCACCCGGGCTGATAGGAACGAAGGCACTGATGGGAAGGTCGAAAGTCTGGATACGTCGCATGATTCCATCAAACTTGATCGGGTTGCCTAGAAAGGAGAAGCTATCAGATCTGTGCCTGGAAAGTCATCTCGGGCTATCAGTACCATCCTTAAAGATTCCAACCTTCTCAGTTGGACCATCATCAAAGAAGGTGTTGAACTTGAGCAGATTCAATGGACGATCAGCTTTGTTGGTGATCGTAGCCTTGACACGAGTGTTGCTGAGGCTGTCGAGTTTGATATCAAGACCGGAATTGTCTTCAGGTAAATCTAAGTGAGGGAGAGCACAAGAAAAAGCAGGAGTGGCTAAAGCCGCCAGGGCCGCCACCATCGAACACAACAACATGGCAAATAAAAGAATGGACAAGCCAAATGCAGGCGTTCAGAACGAGTGACGGCACAATTAAAAAGAAAAAAGAAGGAAAGGCTGGAGAGTTGTGTGGTCTGTAGAGAAGAAAGACAGTACAGATTCACAGCGGCAACAGAGCCTTATATGCTTCTTTCCACGGTCTCTATGAGCGTGGTTCTTCCATTGCAAAACAAACATACTGAACCCCTGATGAGGATCAAGCTTATTGCAGTGGGTTCAGGACATGGGCCAACATCGGACATGACCGCCAAGGATGTTTTTGTTTCCACCGATTACGATGAGGAGTTATTGCCTTTAGCTTTGTAACGTAGAGAACAGGAGGAATGATACCAGGAAGCAGCTTGTGCTATAGCTCACGGGATGTGCCTTTGCTTCTAGGGTCCAAGGCGCTCGCAATCCCGAGGAGCGTGGCGGAGGTCTTCTTGGGCACTCAGACGAACCACTTTCACCTTGGTACTTTCGGTATAGACAAAAGCGGTGCAATGGAAATCAACTTCAGCCAAAGCGCTGTGGTTATCCATGGAACTCGGTCAAAGGCCTGACAGCCTCCGAAATTTGCCAGAAATCCATTCAGGTGAAACAATGCCAACGATGGACTGGGTGGCCATACGAAATCGCGAAACAGCCAATGAGCAAAGTTCAAAGCCGACCCCGTTTCTGTAGAGACGTTTCAGTGTGAAGAGAATTCACGCCCTAGCAATCAAATCCACAGGATTGTAACGCAGCGGACTTGACCAAGTTTCAAGTCGCCCCAAACGTTAACCACCAGATGGAGTGTGCCCCCGATGAAACTCCTTGCGCTGAGGGATTCCGAGCTGGACCACTAATGTCCACAGTAGTCACCGATCCTCGAGAAATTCCGGGCTCATGGACAAATGTAGCAGGTAGAAAAGAGTTTCGAAGGTGGATGCGTCGTCGAGGTCTCGAGCGTTGGACGTCCAGAATTGCCGAACGCCACAGCTCATCCTTTGGCTAACTAACCTAGCTTTGCACAGGGGTCAATCCTCTCCACCGGCGCGCCGTGACTGCCAACCCGTTCTCGCCATTCTCGAATCCTGCCAAATCCTAGTCGGAGGGGGTTCTTGGAAGCTTGGTAAAACTACATTGATCGGGGGAATGCGCATGTTCCGGCTTACCACCTGGCACGAGCCCCCTGGGTGGACACCATCACTGAGCAAGGATCCAGAAGCTCTCCCTTCAGCGCATGCTTTCGAACTGGTTTAGAACGAACAGGGATATTCACGGAAGTTTCCTTCGAGAAGATGTGCCCAGTGGATACCACGCGCTTCTCAGCGGCCATAGCAGTCTTTGTATATGCAGGCATTCCTGGCATATCCGTGTCGCGATGTTAGGTAACGCATAAATCTCCGCGAGCCCACTGCGTCGTGATAAAGTTCCGCCGGGGAGTCAGCAAATTGGAAAATCCTTTCAGGGTGAAAGCCCAGCAGCGACGAGCTCAACGGCTGATTCCCGTCATAGCAACACGGGGATGCTGATGTATGTTCTCACAGTAAGGATTTGAATGTGCTTGTTGAAAATGGGCCTACACACCCTCCTTGTAGGAGGTCTGAATTGATCCTGCGCTAGGGGATTGAAACCCAATGTCCACACAGCGAAGTTCAAAAAGGTGAGAAGTCTTGTAAAAACTCCAAGTTAATCCAAGATGCTTGGAACGAAACAGACGTAACAGGAGAATTGTGGCCTAGCATATGCTATCTACATATGTAAATATGTACTACAGTGATGTTCTTTAGAATCTTTGTGTTTTGCTTCTGAATCGCGTCGTCAGCAATGGATGCAAAATCTGAGCTTCCCTTGCAACCGTATCCTCCAACAAGCATATCAAAGTTGGCCTTAAGTTATTCAAAGGGAAATTCGGAATCGCTAAATCGAGGCTCATATGCCATGAACTGCGACCTTGAAGATCAGACACTGAAATCCTCAGCGCAGGGCACGCGTCAAAATGTTTCCTGTGGTAATTCCCTCTCATCTCCTTTTTTCGCTCCCTGCCAACGTTCCTCATTGCGTTAGGGAGCCGAGAAGTGTATCCGGCACTGATCGTCCACGACCTGTATAACGGCACATCCTCCGTAGGTTCCCTTCTGCATCCGCGAAAGCAGAATTATGATGGCATCCAGCTCTTTGTGGAATAGAGCCGTCTGTCATCCCAATCGTCCAGCCCACTCGGCATCGGCAGTATCAGCACCACGGGATATAAGCGTGCCCCACACACGCCAAACTTGGTAACCAGCTAAACACACCGCAAATGTCTCTTTACATCCCTGGAGTCGCTAGGCGGCATGGAGCAAATTGGGGCGAGCCTGTGGTTGCGCCAATCATTGTGAGTTTGAAGGAACGGCACAATCATTGCTCCACCATAGCAGAAGCCTCACCGATACATACATTTGTGCAGCCTAGGAATAAACACTCAGGGTGTTGAGTCCGTGTGGTCAGACCGCGGATATTTCACAGGCTCGTTAGTGGTATAAATAGTGGGCATATGGATTGATTGGCTCATGTCAGCTCTAGTCAAAGAGCAATATGACCAAAAATCCAAATACCAAGACAATAAAAATCAATCTCAAACCCAGGCCTCGGAAAGGATGGCACCATTTATTATGTGGAAGGGAAAGCTCAATTTGTTGAAACCTTTGGCTATATCCGTGCTTCACGGATTCTTGGAATTCGCTCCAGTCCTATCCAGGAAACGGTTTCGGCAAGAGGCAAACTCGGCTTCTACCCGAGACCTCGGGTGGATATGCGAAATAATCACAACACGGGGGCTTATCATAGGCAACCAAGGGAGTCCAAACGACTTTGAACGCTCTCTCGGACAGTCCACGTGAATGGAATATAAAACAACCCAAAGAAACTGTGGTCTTGAAAAGATGTGATGGTACCGGCATCTGTGGTGGCATGGTCTTATAGGCAGGCATATATGCAAGTAATTCAAGTGGGTGCGGACATCAAGAAAGCAGATTCTTGCAAATTGTCGAGTGCTATCCTTCAAATGTCTGTGAATATCATGTTTACATCTTCTGTGCCCACAGAATAATCGCTGGGCAGCCGTTTTCTGGATATCTCCCCACAGTTGCCAAGAAGTTTCTGTCTAGCACTAGGGTGCTCCAAGGAGTGACGTTATGGCATATCTGTCAGTGAATTGCTTATTCCACAGGGATGTCAGACGGGTATCAGTTCTACTCCGTACAGTGCGAGGCTATACTCTGGTGAGTGCATGCATCACCAAGATTATTGGGCTGTTCTTTTGAGGTTCGTGGGTTCAGGCAGAAGCTCGTTGAAGATGATTCACCCCTTTTTATTTAGTGCTCACTAGCCAACCACGTGAGAAATGGAGCCCTAACTAGTAAGTAAGGATGGATGGCGTGCAACGTCCTGCATAAGCTCTCATGTTTGCTGAGGGGTTATAAGCATTTTGGAGAACTGATCCCGCTGTGTCTCTGGGGGTATATACAGTTCACCTCTTTCGAATAGTGTTCTATGACACATTGTTTGGATGCTGACTCCTGCCTAGTGAAACCCTGGTGATTCTGTCAGCTTCATAGGATCCACAGACACTCGGCAGACAGAGTCTCATTAGCAGCCTTGCCGGACTGGACTTTTGAGTGATCTGACTGTGACTTATACCTGTGATTGGATATTGCTGCACCCTTGAGGATGGTCTAGTTGCAGTTCTTGACAGCATTGAATATCTCGCCTGTCAGCGGTTCCCGCGAGTTCCGGTGTATACTATCTTGAACTAGGCAGCTAGGGTCAACTGAGCACCGTTACTTGCCAGCGCCATGGAGTCCTCGAGTCATTCGTCACAGGTTGCCGCGCAAGGGCAGGAGACTTCCAAGTCTCCGGCCGATGTTAAATACCCAGAAATGCCTCTACCACAAGTGACGGCAGGGAACTCAGATCGAGATCTACCTGCTAACATTCCGGCTCACTCCAAAGAGGAGACCCTCAATCCATTGACGGCACCGAAGAGAGACAAGCCAAGCCTACCCGCCAAAGAAGAGGAGAGAATGTTTCAAGCCTTAAAGGCTGTATTCGAGGATGCCGGAGAGGATACAGCCAGCTTCGATTTGAGGAATCTAATGGCATCTCTTGAGTTGGTGGATAAAGAATCCGCCTATGGACCTCCAAATGCGCGCATACTAGAGGCCGTCAAGTCCAAGCTGTATCAACTGTGGGAAACTAATTCTGGCTATATGGCTCGTGTTACCGAAGTGTTGGCAAATGGAAGCCGAGATCGTAAGTATCTCGTTTATATCTCGGTAAAGTGGAAGTTGATTTTCTGATTTTATTTGATTAGCGAAATGGCGACTACCTTACGGTACAAGTGGCATCTTGGACTTCTACCTTCGAGTCATCTCAACGCAGGGTGTTGATGACGATATTCTACTCCATGCCTTAAGATTGATTGGGAATTCATGTGCTGATACAGGTAGTTGGCTTGTCCTCCCTTGACGTGATCTATATTGATCGTTGAATAGATGAAAACCGGCAGCAAGTGGTGGACAGGAATTATACTCTGTCAATAATGATGCTGTTTGATAACCCGGCACTTGTCCATGTAGCCATTCCTGTTATTTACAATATTTGCGTTGACTTTGGTAAAGTGACCGGCTTACTTGTCATATTCATCCACTAATTTTGGAGCAGAACCCGCTCAAGCCCAAATAGCGATGGATGGGATATGTAATCCCCTCCTAAAATTGCTTGCGAGTGGGTCAATTCAAGGGAACGCGTTGCTGAGCTATACTTATGAACTTGTTGAAATAGCAAGTGGACAAGGTATGATCTGACATTTGTTGAAGAGTGCAATACTTGAGCTGATTTCCAAGCAGGACAGTTTCTAGATTCAGTACCGGATGATTCTCTTTTGTTAATTATTACACTGGCTACAGCCTCCGATATATCCCTGCCTCATTTCACATCCATTACGAATTCTCTTGCGGCATATTTACAGACCGATCGATTTCAACGAGTATGCATATTGCAAGGACAAGTTGAGAACGTGCTCTCGATTCTATCGCAGTCGTACGAAATGGAAGATGAAGAAATGTCTTCGGACGACGAACAAGCTCTATCTTCTAGCCGTTTGAAACTTAATCATGCGCTTTCGGACCTCTCTGGATTAGAGATATACCCTACAGCATATCCCCTCGGCTCTGCACTTACTGGGACCCTGATATCTTGGCTTAAATCGTCGAATGACCATTTACAGATCTGTGCCTGCGTTATGCTTGGAAATCTCGCACGGGAGGATGCAATTTGTGAATCGATGGTCCAAAAGCTGCAAGTCCATCTACCGTTAATAGCGATTCTAGAGAGTGATGCCAGGAGCCCAGTGCTTCATTCAGTGTTGGGATTTTTGAAGAATCTTACCATTGCAGGCAACAACAGAGAATACCTTGGTGAGGCTGGTATTATTGAAAGACTATCCAGGCTATGGGCGGTTGAGACAGCTCCTCAAATACAATTTATGGCAGCCAGTCTAACGAGACAAGTCATACTCTCCTCAGTTTCTAATATATCTCGACTGCTTGACCCCCTGTCCTCGGACCCCAATTCACCAGCAAATGTGCGCACGTACCTTTCTCTCATGCTCTCTCTTTTCTTCAAAACTGATTCTTCGCCTACCCGGACCGAAATTGGTCGAACTGTAGCTTCAATTTGTCGTGTTCTACTACGATTTAACCCGGAACCAGAGAGAATAAATACGACAGAGGCTCTTGTCAAACGCCTGTTCGGCCTCCATAAAGATGTCGCCCGGCCAATCGGGGCAATGATAACTCAAACTGACTGGCCAGTTGTTCGTAGCGAGGGCTGGTTTGCTCTCGCGTTGATGGCTTCGAACAAAGAAGGCAGTGAGGCGGTGGGTGATTGCTTGCAGAGCATGAGCGTCACAGATATCCTCTGCGATATGGTGCGAAAGAGAATACCTGAGCCCTCGGAGAGCGAATCTACTCAAGAAAAGACCAACCGAGCTAGACTAGCAAAGGATAGGGATAATGCTTTGATCCTGCTACATGGTTTACTACAGCATCCTGTAAGTTTGGCATGCAATTCATATATCCCGGCGTGCTAACATTCTATGTGTAGCCTCCAACTTTAACATCAGCTCGGAGGGAAATATTTGAACAGCTGATGGCTGAAATCGGCCAGCCTAAGGCCTAATGAGATTCACCTTCCCCCACATATCGTGATGAAGTATTTACGAAGTTCTCCAGTGACGTTGAGTCTTGCATTTAGTTGCTAGATCCTAGCGTGTTATCAGCCGGCGAAATGACGAATTATGGTTCGGGAATGTCCCAGAGTAATCGTTGCCTCTCCACATCAGCCATGACAAAAAAATTAGTGTCATCAGAAGCTACTCCATAGTAGATGTAACAGATTTATTTAGATCTATTCTTTGGGGATGATTTCTTCTCAGGTCTAATTTGCAAAACTATATACATGTATTGAACGCTTAGACGGAACTCCACAATGGCGCCTGAAGCCGTGAAGACGACCTCAATGCTATCCCCCGGGGCCGGGGGGGTATATCTTGACAAACTAGAGATCGATGTCGCAGGTGAAAACGCGCGTAAACCTATCAGCACACCTCTTGTTGACTCGTCTTCTTCTGTTTCAGTCGCTTCTCCGTCTTCATAAACTCTCTAAAGCCCACTGGAATCCCCTCAAACAGATCCTCCGCCTCCGTTGACAATGGATCGCCAACCCAATTACCCTCACTCCCCCCTCCATCATCGTCCATACTCATACTCGCGCTCTCAACCTCACGGCGCGGCTTATGCCTCACATCTCCTCCCGCCTCAATCATCACTTTTGCACGGTTTTTCGCCTCGCGTACCCGCGCCGCCCATTCTTCAATGTCGTCTCGGTAATCGTCCCAGACACAGTGTACGCATCCGCTCATACAGCAATTATCTGGCTCTGAGGGGCGCGGGGGGATCGGGACGCCGTTGATTGTTTGCCAGGTTGAGTCTGGTGGAGTGGTTGGATTGTAACGCGATGTGTAGCCTGGACCTGCGAGGCGGGTCCCGAAAACTATGCTCATCTTTTCGGCGGGTGTAGGTTCGCGAGTGTCGGAAGATGCCTGGGCGGCGGGGGCTGGTGGTGTGGAAGGGTCATGTCGAGCGGGATTGGCAACACGGGTTGGGTGAGAAAGGATGTCAGAGTAGTAGCCTTTCAGAGGATAGGCCTGTGATACTTGGGATCCTTGACTGAGAGTTTTATGCGCTCTTATTTGAAATTGAAAAGTAGGTTTTGGTGGTGGTTGAGGGTAAACGTTTTGAGCGCGTGAGATAGGCCTATTGTCTGGGCCCTGTATCCGGCGGAGGCAGTGTACGCATAAGGTATTCTTCAAATAGAGTCGTCTTGAAGTGAAGGCCAAGCCCTCCATTCTTACCGGTGACTGACAGCAATCCACGATCGAATTTGCTGCCGAAGTGCCGCCGTGTTCTACGATGACGATGTTCGCTGGAACGATGGTGCAAACATTGCAAACAGCGGGTCGCGTTTGTTGTGCCGTCAAAACAGCCCGCGATCCCAGAGCTGCTCTGGCCAAAGACGGTTTGCAATTGCTACTCTACTCTGCCCGTATATTGAATCACTGTCTTATCTGATAAAAAGCAAGGACTTGAAAAGCGTCTATATGTTCTAACGCGCCTCACGTATGATTCCCCTACCCGCCAAACGGCGCAAATCGAACTCCTCTTCGGCAATCCCCGTCGAATCGACAAATGTCGAGCACGCATCTCTCAATAACAATGGAAAACTGGAGCCTGCAAGCGGCGCATCGTTTCGGTCGGCAACAAAAGCAAGTCTTGCGCGGTCGCAGGCAGAGCTTCTTCCTAGAGTATTAGGCTGGTCGGCGGCAGAAAGAACACAACGGTCAGAGAGCCGGGGACGTGAGCTGCATGATGCTCAGGGAACTAAGGAGGACATGTCCCGTAAAGCTCCATGGGCCCTACCGAACCAAATTTCTTCGAAGCGGGAATCTAATTCTAAACTTCCGGTGCCGAGTTCCCGCAAAGCAGAAGCGGCAGAACCCAATCTAGAGAATGGAACTGTTCGCAGGTCTGCTAGGAGAGCTCTATTTACCTCACAGCGCACGTCTATTACAGCCGAGGTATCAGTGGCTGGTCTACCAGACGAATTTGAGCCTGGAGAACAGGGTTCTGGGAGTTTATTCGGATCGCAAAACGCTGGTGATGGGGAGAGCGAACCGGAGCTACCCCCAACTCCAACGCAGCTGGGTCTGCAGAAACTTTCTGTTCGTTCGAGAAGCTTTATGAGCAGTAGCCCAAGTCTTCTGGTTGACCGGCAAAAGGGACGGACTTCGGGAAGACGCTACGAGCCGAGCCCACTTAAACCGCGCGATGAGCAGGTCGGGGAATTGGAAGATTTGGGTGCAGACCTATCAACAAACGTTTCACAGCTAGAAGAAGAGCTGCCGGCCGCAGTGCGTGAAAAAAAGAGGCTTCGTGACGAGCTTACTGCACAGTTGGAGAAGTTGAAAGAAGACGTCGCGACTCTTGAGGATTGTGGCCGTCGCTTTGAGCAGCCGGATACAAACGAGTCACTGGACAAAGAATATCTAAGCCGTTTACTGTAAGTTTTAGCTGATGTTTCCTGGGTTTCTGCTTGTTCCACCTGACCTGCGCTACAGATCTCTGCTTACGACTGACAATCCTTCCTGTGCTCCGCCTCCAAAGCCAAAACGATTACCACCAATATCCTCCATGCTTTCATATCTTCTTCCATTTTCTGTTCCTCAGCATATCCCCAAGTTGGAACTGCAGCGTCCAGTTACACCACCTCCAGAAAATCCATTTGCGCTCGAGCAGCTTTCTGATCCTTTGCCGTATCTTACACTCTTCGCACCCCTCACTCTATCTACACATACGACAACAACTTCTTCGTCCTGGAAAACATTGGGATCCTCATCACGTCTGATACAAAAGCATGAATTTGTCCTTTCTCCTCCCCGTGGATTCCCTCAGTCTATATACAAGATTCCGATCACCCTTGAAACAGATCCGGAGCTACAAAGAATCCTATCCATCACCATTCCCGATTCCTCAGAAGCATCTGATGTTGCAAACATTCCATCTCAACTACACCGATGGATGCACACCCGACTTTCGAACCAACTCTTAAAACTCGACATATCCGGATTGTCGTGGGGCGTTTGTCGCTACTGGGAAGCATGCATCTCGCGCGCAAAAATATGGACATTGTTGGAGAAGCTCCAGTCCAACGTCACCAAAGGCACTCGCCTCAAAGATACTAGCTCTCGCGAAGATTCCGAGCCCGAGAAGAACCCTCGCGCGCTAGTTCCTCACCTTGATCGATCTTCATCCCTTTTCTCAGGCCCTCGCGGGACTGGCAGTTATCAGATCATGGTGTCCTGTCCCATCGAGATTGATCTCTGGACCAGTGAACCGTTCCTACAACCTGATATTTGCATTTCTACTTCGACTTCCCCACGCTCTAGCGGAGGCGCCGAGACCAAAATTGAAATTGAGGCGCGACGGGTGTTTTGGACTATACTAAAGCATCGTAGTGCCGATGTTGAGATTGATTGTGGCATAATTGTAGGCGCTGTGGAGGCTGTCGTCAGGGTGCTGTATGGGGAAGAGTGATGATGGTCTACTAAAGATATGGGAAGCAGGGCAACATAGAAGAATGAGACGATGAAACCTGCTCTATATAAACGTACTTGTCATTTTGGTTGATAGGATATCCGCCCTGTACTTTGTAAGTATCGTTGGCCTTACGCAGTTGCTATGATATATGCATACTTAGAAAATGTTTGTGTTTGGCTTCTCCCTTGAAGACGGCAAATATCAACGGGACCCCCAACACATACCACTACGTGGGTTTGTTCAATGGAAAACAGCACATGCCGCCCAGAGACGATTTAAGAGGTTGGATGAGATAAATGTCCAAAAAAAAAAAAAGAAAAAGAAAAAAAAAGAAAAAAAAAAAAAAAATTCATACCAAAACTATTGCCAGCTGAATGTTATGGGCTAGACGTCATATCATTTCATTTGTAATTCTAGCTGGGAGATCACAGTGAGCAAGGGAAACTTTGCATAAAAGGATATCCCAGCCAAAAGTGCTCCGAGATAATTCAGGATGTACGTTTTCGTATTTCTCTCCCATTGCATTTAATTTAAAAAACACCCAGGGAGTAAGTACACCTCAAAGCCATCAAGGACCAACCCCATTGATTCCCATCGGACGACCATATTATCATAGCAACGTAAAAGAGAAAAGGGCGAGGAGGGGTAAGAACATTCGGGGATTGCGAGACAAAAGGAACCACGAAGCAAACTACAGCAGGCTTTTCTTTAAGTTTATAGTTTTATTTCTTAGCCGCTGCGGCCTCCTCAGCCTTTGCCTTTGCCCTCTTCTCTCTAACACCAGCATAGCGGGCCTCGCTGCGAGCATCTCTCAGTCTGCGGTAAGCAGCCTTCTCTCCCTCTGGCATATCGGCCTTGGAGATTTCAGTGACAGCCTGGGCGCGGGTGATGTTGGTGACTGGAAGCAAGGAGCCGACGTTCTTGACGAGGTTCTTGCCCTCGAGGGCAGCCTTGACATCTTCGGGGGAGGAGTCGAGTTTCTTGAACTGACCGCTCTTGCGGGGGAAGAGGATCAAGCGGGCCTTGTATTCCTTCAAGCGGGCGACGTTGGCGGAAAGGGATTCTGAGCAGGCATTGACACGGCGGTGGTCGACGGCAATACCGATGGTTGGGGCGAGTTTGCGGGGGATACCGGCTTCCTGTAAATCACGGTAACATGGACCAGTAAGCGAAATGCTAATACTATAAACGGTCTTCGCGCAGCAGGTAACAGGTGCCTCGGACGCGTCGAAGCCCTTTTGGAGACAATAGGAGTACCTTCAACTCTTGAATCGTGAAACCACGTCCAACTCTGACCCGGCTGTTGTATTTAATGGTTGGGCATCTGACAACTGGGCGAAGCTTGTCAACAGGACGGGGAGCAACGGCGGCAGCCTTAGCAAGACGAGCTTCCCGACGGCGGTGTTTCCGGCCAGGCTATAAAACGCGAGCAAAAATCAGCCACATCCACCTTCCAGGTAAAATATACACCGCAATGATTCCTTTCCATTGTCTCCGCGTTTCCTTTCCCTCGAAGGAAAAAAGGAAGGGAAAAAAGCATGAGCAAATTTCGTACCTGATCGAAGTGCACTCGGACACGACGCTGCCAGTCCTTGTGGAAGTCTAAAACGCAGGAAACCAGTCAGAACAAAAAAAACTCGCCCAGAGTGATTCGCACATCGTCTTGCACGGCGATCGACCGAGAGGAATACTCACGATTCCTAGGGATTTGCTGGTTGTGCTTGATCGCCTATAAGATCCAAGAAAGTCGCATGTTAGCGTCCATCCAAAGCGGCGCAACGCGAAACAGAGGACTTTAATTCCCCGTAAAGCGTAGCGGCGGGGGAGAGCAGCATCAAGCATACCATTGTGACGGCCGGTGATCAAGTTGTCGAAACCCGGAATGGTGTTGCTGGTCGTTCGTCGACGTCGTTCGAGGATTGCTTGGGTTTATTTGGGGTGGGAACTTTTTTGGTGTGGTCTGCCTCTCGGAGCCGCCAGCCTCGCTTAGCCCACGCTAGCCCTATGTCTTACCTAATTGGTTACCACAACATCTCTGACGACGGCGAAAATTTTCAAAAATTCACCAAACGCACTGCTGGACAACGGAGGAGGAGCTGGCCATTGTGGGTTCATATTCTCGTCTGATTAGGATCCTACACTACTCTACCTAAGCCAGACCACGCGTTACAAGCCAAAAAAAAAAAAAAGCTAGCAATACCTTGGCCGCCGAAACACCAGAAATCAATAACAAAGTCTATCAACAAATGCAGGAATAATCGTACATCATCAGAAAGACCCAAAGTGATGCACCAGGGGTGAAAGAGGTACAGCTCGCATAAGTGATTTTTTCAAATACCGATAAAGCAAGGAAATTCATCAACATATCGTAAAGCTAGGAAACTCAGGAGCATCGTCAAAAGGGTTCATAGTGAGTGTTGAAAGGGTAGCAAAGTCGTATCAAATCATCACAGTAAGGAGGGCAAAAAAAAAAAAAAAAAAAAAAAAAAAAAGAAAAAGAAAGAAAAACAAAAAGAATGGAAATGTTGGTCGACCCCTTCAGGATTCCACATCAAGGCAGACAGACTCTGCACCACGAAATTTCTTGGGAGACATCATCTTCTCTTCAGTGCTACGCTTGCGCTTCAGATTGCCGCTGGGGCGCTCAACGCCGGCTTTCTTGACTTGGCCGAAGAGTTTAGCCTGAAGAAGGGTGCTCGATTTGCCAATGTTTACTGGGATTGATGGTTCTTCTTGACTGCTACGGGGAAAACGACGTAGCATACTAGTAGCGAGAGAACTTGCTTGGGAAGCGGGGACATCTTCATCGGTCACTGCTTCTTCAATGTCGGAGGCCGAGATTGTGCTGTCACGATCGTGGCGGTCGCGTTCGTCGTCTTCATCAATGGCAGCGTGGCTCAAAGGCGGGGCTGTGGATCGTTTATTGATCGGAGTAAAGAAATGGATTCGATCGTTGCCCACAGAATTACGCTGGGGAGTCGTGGGCAAGGACGAGAGCGAATGCGTTCCACGAGCATGACCGTGGTTCTTCTGAGAGGTTTTCTTTGATACGGGAGACTTAATACCGGCAGATTCTCCGTTGAGGACCTGGTCAGCAGCAAGGAGAGCCGCGAATGGATGATGACTGCCGACTCTGCTGATATGAGAACGAGCACCATCCGGGATCGGCTTGCGGTGTGGAGTGTTAAATTCGGTACGAGGGCTTGAAGAAATGGACCCTTGGTCCATCAGCTGGGTAAAGTGCACTCGGTTCTCCCGGATGCGCTGTTTGAGAAGGCCGTTTTCCTCCTCCAGGAGTCCATATTTGCCAGCATGCTCCTCGATGAGTTTTTTAGCGCGGCGTAGTCTTCGATCTAATGTCATATTTGCGTGTTCTAGTTCCTTGATTCGATGCACGGCAGCCTCTAGGTCGGCGTTGAGCTGGGGATGAGGAGAGGTCTGTCGCATGAGGTTCTGCCGGGAACGATAATCGGCGCTCTGCAAGATTTCAATCTCTCTCTTAGCAAGCTGCTGTTCGACCTCAGCTCGCTTGATCGCTTCGCTGCTTGTCAGAGAGAGAAGGCTATGTTGAAGTTTAAAGTGTGCAGCCGACATGCGTGACTCTTGGGCCACAGCCAAGAGCCCCTTTGCCATCTTTCGAAGTGATTCGGTATCTGCGTCCTCGATGTCTGTTGAGGTTGGTAAGCTCTCTGATGCGCCATAGGCAACGCAGAGAGTCTGATTCACGGTTGCGGGCGGCGACACGAGGAAAGGGCTATGTTCAGAAAAGGCGCGGACAGGCGTGGATTCGTGTGGAGCATTTCGTGAAGGGGGAGGAGTCATCTCGGACGACGAGGCAGGTGGCTGTGGAGATGCAAACTTGGTTTTCTCCGAGGGATTTATTGAGAGTGGTAGATCATCGGGGGATGCGGACAGGCTGCTTCGGGCTGGGATTGGAGAGCTGGGCACCGCGATTTCGGCGGCAGGCTCGAGGCACGCCTTTTTTAGAAGAGGTTGATCAGTCATGATCACGGAGGATACGCTGAGAAGAGCGTTCGTTCAAGATGGGAAGTCGACACAAGGATGGAGTTCACTCGGCGCTTGCTTTGGTGTCAAGACAGACAAATGCGACAACGCCAAGGCCAATTGCAACGCCAAAGACACGAACTGAGGGATCCAGATCAAAGAGTCTGATTGATGAGTGAATGTACCGCCAAATGCACAAAGAATGCGTGAGTGAGACAAGCGAGGCAGGGCGACAATACGATTGTGGGAAGACAAAAACAAGGACAGGGTGGTGCCGAAGTGTAAACAGTGCTCAGGCAGACTCGAGGCGACGACGGTGACAAAGGGCAGGTCGAGGTTGGGGAGGGGGAGATGATCGATGCGAGAGAGAGGGATATGAGCGATAGGCGATGAATTCAAGTCCAGAGTAGACGCCGGGGATGCAGCGACGAGGATGGATGGGGGATGATGGAAGGGAGACAGGACTGGCGGGACGGATACTTTGGGGTTGCGATGGGTGGTTGTCCAGGTGGCCGCCAGCGAGAGGAGGCTGGGCAACGGCGCTAGCGCGACCCACCGCAGCGCCAGCGCCCAGCCATCTGTCACGTGAATATAGCGCTGAGTCACGCGGGGTTCGGCGGCGGGAGCTAGGCCTATCACGGCTAGCGCAAGATCTGCATTTCCGTCGCCCAAAGAGGAATAGTGCTCTATATTAGTCAGCTGCCGGACCGGCGAATCGGGTTTGCGGTGCACGCCACAAAGGGGCGCATCTAGCTTAGCGAAGCTTTGCCCCTGGAGGCTCGCTGACTGCTCTCGCTCGGCCGGCAGAAGAACACGCAGGGTCCAGCAGGCAGGGGGAGAGAGAGCTGTGCTTTCGGATTTGCATTGTTATACGGAGTACTACTATGCCACATTACATTAGCTTGATGCCAATGTCTCAATTGAGCATTTAAATTTCTTTCTTTCCCCCGTCTGCGAAAATCGCTCTCTTCCACCGGTTCAGAGTCTCCAGCGCAACCATGGACCAAGGGCCGGTCAAGCGGCCACCTCCCAGCGCCATCCCACGCCTATCCAGACTTCCGTTGCCAACAGCCGCCGCGCCTAAGCTAGTACGGCCATCTCCATCTAGAGAGCGACTCCAGGCAGACCAAGGGCTTAACGTTTCGAGACTCCGCAGACCGTCTGAAGATGTGTTCAAGAAGCCACATCTTCCCCCTCCCTCGTCCCGCAAAGTATCCGACAACTTCTATGCCCAACGGAGATCCTCCCAATATGGCCATTCGATCAGAACTGCTGCGTCAGCGGAAAGCCTTGCATCCAAAAGAAATTCCGAGCTCTGCCTTACCGAGATAGGGCCTTCCCTGGAGGAGCGAACGATCGAGACTCTGTCGCAGATCCCATCTTCGCCCTCTCCCAGCAGGAGGCAGTCCGGATTCTTTAGACCGTCTAGTCCGATGCGCTCACCATCCCGGCCCACCTCCGAGATCAGCCAGCACCCCGTCCCGCAAATCACATCTCCCACAAAGCAGTTCAGGCCTCGAGCATCCCTGTCCACTGACCCTTCTCGCCCAAAGCCTCGTGCGGCATCGAGTGCCCCTTCTTCGAGAAAGGCTAGTGAGAACAGCCGTAAAGAAGACCCCCCGGTGCCTTTGCCAAAGCAGGATGTCGTTTCTCCACGTATGCCTCCCAACGGTGAGAAGAGAAACGCGGTTCTTCGAAGCTCTAAATCACGCCAATCTCTAGCCCAGACTTATTCCGAGACGAATGGATCTGCTCCAGCAAAAGACACCCCAAAGTCAAAACAACCCAAGCCTCGCAAGCCGCCCTCTACCCTCTCGTCCAACATTACGTCTCCGACATCTAGCGTCTCCAAAACATCGCAAAGGACCTCCGTCACATCTGAGAGCAATTGCTCCGAGCCTCCCAGAAAGGTTCCAGAAGCTAAAAAAGCATCCAAGTCCTCAAGTGCTTTGAGGGAAAGCATTGCAAAGGCAAAAGCGGCCCGCAAGGCTGCAAGGCAGAGTAATGCAAACGATGCTTTTGCTGACCCGTTTAACAGTATCTCGATGAAAGATCCTTTCAATCAGCTGCAGAACGAAACATCCGACAAGGCACTCCTTAAGAGCAGAACGAGAGCTGCACGTAAATCCGGCCACCTGAACATTGCTGCTTTAGGCTTAAAGGAGATCCCTCATGAGGTCATGACAATGTATGATTATGACCCTGAAAGTACCGATGATTGGTATGAGGCCGTGGATCTGGTCAAGTTTATAGCTGCCGATAACGAATTTGAGTCTCTCTCTGAAGATGCTTTTCCTGACGTTGATGTAACTTCTTTGCAGATGGACGAAGGCTGCAAAGGAAATCAGTTTGGAGGGCTGGAGGCGTTGGATCTTCACGGGAACCTTCTTGCCAGCCTCCCAATAGGCTTAAGAAGACTGCAGCGGCTTCGGTCTCTTAATTTGGCAAAGAACCGGCTGAACATGGACGCTATTGAAGTGATCACTCAGATTGGAAATCTGACCGAGTTACGGCTAGGGAACAATGACCTTGACGGCATGTTTACACCTCAACTTGGGTCACTTCAGAAGCTAGAAGTATTAGATCTTCGGGGTAATGCATTGACCGGACTTCCTGACAATTTGTCTGATTTGACGGGTCTGCGAGTTCTAAACGTTGCGGAGAACCAGTTGACATCCCTGCCTTTCAGCGCTTTATCCAAGCTTCCTCTGGTTGAGATCAATGCCCAGAAAAACCGCCTGCAAGGGTGTCTCGTTCCTGCGTCTATTCGTCGAATTGAGGGACTTCAGATACTAAACGTGTCCGGTAATTCGCTGGAAGGCCTTTCTGCGGGAGATGTTTTAGAGCTTCCAAGCCTACAGCAGTTGTTCGCGGACGCAAATCGTATCAAAGCACTGCCCAACGTCTCCTCGTGGACGTCTCTTCTTTCCCTGATCATTGAGGACAATGACTTGTGTGAAATCCCGGAGGGGCTTTCTGAACTGACTAATCTAAAGCATGCTGACTTCAAAGGAAATAGCATCACTACCCTTAATGACAGAATTGGGTTAATGGAAAATCTGATGACATTCCACATTGGAAACAACCCTCTTCGGGAGCGGAAATTCCTCTCTATGGATACGGAGAACCTCAAGCGAGAACTTTGCACCAGATGCGCCCCTGAAGTACAAGAGGGTGAAGACGGGGAAGAGTCGGATCACACTGAATTCACTTTGGCACCAGAAAGGCCAGAAACATCGCATGGATGGCGAGTGAAATCTGGCGGAGTTCTGGATCGCTCCTCTACGGACCTCTCCCGTTTGGAGGTCGAAGACTTGGAACCTCTCGTCTCCAGCTCCGACATTCGTTGTCTCTATCTTAAGCATAATCGATTCGACAGACTGCCTCTTTCAGCAATATCCTTTCTTTCTCATTCGCTGACTGACATCGATCTTTCACATAATCCGATGAATGGCGAGGACTTATTCACGAGCCCCATTGCTCTGCCGCATCTCCAGAATCTTACCCTAGCCGCTACCGGACTGACTTCCTTTGAGCCTCTTCAATCCTTCCTCTCTGCGCCTTCTCTTATGTTCTTAGACGTTTCCAATAATCGATTGCGCGGTGCTCTTCCAACTTTGCGCTCTACATATCCAAAGCTAATCACATTCTTGGCATCTGAGAACCAAATAAACTCCCTATCCTTCGAAGCCGTTGAGGGGCTCCAGGCTCTCGATGTCAGCAATAACAATATAGACTTCTTACCTCCTCGACTTGGACTCCTTGGTGTTGAAGAGTCCGGTGGCTTGAGGAGACTGGACGTTTCCGGGAACAGTTTCCGCGTTCCTAAATGGCAGATTGTGGCCAAAGGGACTGAAGCGGTTTTAGATTGGCTGAAGAACCGCCTTACGCCAGAGGAATTGAGGGAATGGCAAGGTGATACTGACAATATGTGATTTTTGATAGGATCCAATATCCCACTCTTGCGGATCTATTATTATTCTTCTTCTTTTTGTCCCCTAATACTGTCTTATCTACCGAAGATTCTGTCTCTTATGTATTATTTAGATCTTTTTTCTATCTAGTTACTATCCGGGAATATTGAATTAATATATGTGCTGCGCCCCAGTATGATGTGTGTCGGATGAGCTGTCCTTGATGGAATCCCTCCTACAACGCCTACTTCGAATATGGGAGTCCTTGCCGTGGCCATTAAAGATGACAAGAGATAAAAGGATGGGTATAAAGAGAAGCCCAAGGGCAAAACCCAACACCATAAACGGCGAAGCACAGGGCAATATTATGATGCATTCAGAATAGATCAGGTTTAAAGTCTATTTCTGTGTGCCAGAGTGATGTTCCAAAATTCACTTGCCTTCATTCATTGCAAAGGGGACATTTTTAACCATCCTTGCGAAAGATCCAACAAAGTGCATGCGTGTAACAATGCTCACCTTCTATTATAGCAACGCCACATTGATAACGACCCTAATTGGGGTATGTACTCCGTATACTGCTCGGCTCTGTAATACTTCTCTGGTTTCCCAAGCTGCTTATGCACGGTGATATTTCAGAAGTTTTCAGTGTCCTTCATGTGTTTATGTCCCAGGAGAAATGGGTCACTCAGGTCAAAGTTGACCATATCATATCAAAATTCGTTCCTACGTAGTTTGTTTTTGAAACTCGTAGCCAATTCCACATTCTTAACCCAGTGTTCGTTTCGGATGCATAACTGTTGCCAAATGGCAAATCTGTGCTCCTCTTCGTAGCAGAGAACCAACCATTGACGCGCGAGTTATTTATCCTTCTGGTTGCAGTCTGTCGTTTCCGAGACCTTCGACCACTTTAATCCAGACAGTTGCCCACTTTGAAAATTTGTCTTCTCTTCGACTTAGGTCTCCCTGTTCTAGCGTTGCACCAAGGACCCAGGGCTCGCATAGCAAATCCACAGCTTCAGACGCTCGATCCCGTAACCTAAGACTATATGCATCGGAGAATTCGAGGTTGTGTTCGTACAGCGACCCGGCCGCTTCATCCACGAGATTGGGCAGGTCCTGCAGGCAAGAAGCAACCGAATCAAGCTTTGGAGAAAATTTCGGTAAGATAGCCTTTTCATCCAAATTCTTCAAACGGTACGATATGATCGCGGTGTATAGCTGTGAAACAAGCGTGAGCAGACGAAGAAGACATTTCTTTTCGTCTTCAAGTTTAGCGCGCTGGTTTTCGTCGTTTTCGTCTTTATCTTCATCCTCCATATGCTCCTCCTCCTCATCACCACTCTTGGCGGCTTTGCCTTTCCCGAGCACGCCACCGTTAGCCTCACCATGTGCTTCATCTCCAAAATCCTCTACCCAAAAACCATCGTCGCCATCCAAATCCCCCTCCGGGTCCCATTCCTTCAATTCACGTATCCCATCCTTGACTAATTCCAAATATTCCTTTGCTTTCCGGACCACCAGGCCAACCACACCTTCCGACGCAAAGTTAATGATATGATCGCATACCTCCCAAACCCTCGCCGTTGCAGCGGTAATCCCATTTTTGTCCGTCCCACTCAAGGTAAACTCTTTGTCCTTGTCATGAGAAACCGCAATGGCCCGGATACCCTGTATCAAGGTAGTTAATTCGCGCAACGCGTCTTTAACGAGCGCCTTGGCCTCAGTGGAGAAGGTCTGTGTGTACTTCTCGGGAACAGAGAGCAATGCTGCAGTGGTAAGGGAGGGAAGGACAGCGTCGTTTACGTCTGTGAGCACGGTGATTATTGCGGACGGGGTGAATGGTGCATTAATGGCGAGTAGCGACAGCTTCGTTGTCTGCGCTTTGAGGGTATGAGAGGCAGCGGAGAGGAGGGGTAGCGGGGAAGTCTGGGGGTCGGAGCAGCTTGCATTGCAAGATGCGGATTCAGAGGCATTTGGAGAGGAAAGATTTAAACTAAACTGCTCTGATAGAGCCAGTGTGGTATCCAATGCCTTTAGGAGACTCGGAGGCATTTTTGGTCTGCGGCACGCCGTTGGTTTGTTGATGTGCTTTTGGCTTGTCGGCGCGTTTGGATTTGAATTTATTTCGGGGAGATGCGTCACGTGATGTTGCCTTGGGACTGGCTGGAAGTTCTTCAATGATGCGCAGCGTATGATACATCTACACCCCCACCACTGCGAAAAGACCCGCTGGTCGGTTACCCTCAAAATAGTGCGAAAGATGATGTTCTTAGTCGACCTCTTACCAGGTACAGGTGAATTCCGTTGAGATGTGGATCTGGGGTTCTGCGGATTGAGGATGGATACGTTGAACCGTAACACCTTGGACAGTTAAACAAGCATTGTGCACCCGCCCTCGGAGAGGCATTCAAGCCTCATGGGCCTATCACTGGAACCGGTAAACGCTTCTTGCCAATGTTCCGCGAGGACCGGAATCCAGAACGCTGATAGCCCGTTTGCGTCCTTTCATCAAACCATCCCGCACAAAGATCTTCGAGCACGAATACAATCTTAGACCACCGGATCTAACTTCCGAACGGTGTCTTCGGAGAAGGTGTCTAAATGCATGTTCCAGGAATGAGCGTAAGCAACAAAGCGCTTCTTTCATGCAGACCAACCCCAAGGTTCCCTTTTCGATTCTAGGGAATCATAACTCTATTTCAGGGAGGAATAGTTAGACCAGCCATCAGGAGCTCTAAAACGGGTTCCTTCTGTCATGATCTACACAGTGCGCAGTGGCTAGCTACTTAATTGAAAATAGCTTTGTTTCGCTGGGATAAATAGCATCTTCTCGAGCCGATTTAGCATGGATGAGGTTTACTAAACCGCTGGATTGGGAAAATTCACCCCTTACGTACAACGCATATACATATATATAACATAGGCAGATATCTATCAGTAGCATTTGTACTTCGGGGTCTCGCTACATCTGACAAAAGGCCGGCCAAATGCATCGTGACTTCCAGCGGGATTGGAAGAGAGTATGAGAAGATACGACGTGCCACAAGTTTCCCCAGATCTAGGTCGAATGTGGGTGGAGAAATATCTCTCCGTGGCCGACAGCATTTCGCTGCAAACAGAGCAAACTCCCATCCTGAGCTCCTTCAAGCTTCTGTGGCGATGCATGTATCTGTCAAATCCAGCTCGTCCCATTGTCATCGCTCATAGGAAATGGGACCTACAAAGGGCTCTCGTGCCGCAAAATCCGCTGCAGCAGCTGCGCAATCTCTACCCACCAAGACCTTCATCATCGACAATGGCGCATATACTATGAAAGCGGGCTACGCACCCTCCAACGTTGAAGACTCCCCATCCGATCCCCTGGCGCCCTGTCTGATGATCCCAAATGCGTTGGTCAAGACCCGTGATAAGCGCGTTTACACCGGTCCTCAACTAAATACTCACGTCACAGACTGGAACGAGGCCGCTTTCCGCCGCCCAGTGGAGAAAGGATATATTGTGAATTGGGAGGCTCAGAGGGAGATATGGGATCATAGTTTTTTCGACGAGAAGATTCCGCGGAGGCCGGAAGTGAGATGTACGGACCCTGGGGATACGACGTTGATATTAACGGAGGCGCCGAATGCGATGGCCGCACTGCAGAAGAATGCGGATGAGATGGTCATGGAGGAATGGGGATTCGGAGGTTATTTAAGATGTATTGGTGGGTGACTTGTCTCCTGGGAATTGTCATGCACGATTTATGTTGAAACGACAGTTATGTTTAGGCCCGACGTTGAATGCATGGAACGACATCCATTCTCTGTTCGGTGACCCAGTTGTTCAAAATGCCAACTCCCATCCTTCCCCAGTCGAATGTCTACTGGTTATCGACTCCGGCTATTCCCATACAACCATTACACCGGTATATCGAGGGCGACCTTTGCACCGAGCCATACGCAGATTGGAAATTGGCGGGAAGTTTCTTACCAATTACCTAAAAGAACTTATAACTATCCGCCAATACGAGGTGCTGGACGAAACCTATGTTATAAACGAGGTTAAGGAAGCAGTGTGCTACGTTAGCCATGACTTTGCAGGCGATATCGAAAAGACAAAACGAGGTAACAAGAAAGGAGCTGCTGATGGCGTGGTTGATGGAATAGTGGTAGACTACGTTCTCCCAGATCCAAACATCGGCAAGAAGGGGTTCATGCGGCCACACGATCCTCTCCTCGCGGCGAAGAAACGAAAAGAACTTCTATCAGGGCCCCGACCTTCTGCTACTGAAGATCTTCTTGTTCTTGGGAATGAACGCTTCGTTGTCCCTGAACTTTTATTCCACCCTGATGACATCGGCATGAAGCAACCGGGAATCCCGGAAATTGTTATGCAAAGCCTATCAACGCTACCTACAGCTCTCCACCCAGCTTTTCTCGCAAACGTTTTCGTGGTCGGTGGGAACGCTCTAATACCCGGGATGGTTGAAAGACTGTGAGTAAACGTCTACTAGTGCTTTCAGAACTGAGCTCACGCCGCACTCCCAGAGAGTCCGATTTACGACAGTTGGCTTCGGCCGAGTGCATTGTCCGCGTCAGGAAACCAGTAGAGTAGGTGTTCCTCCTTGCTAGATAAGCAAAGCCGTCCACATTTCATCGGACTAACACAAGATTACACAGTCCCCTCCGGTCGGCATGGCGAGGAGCTACTCAACTTGCCAGCAACCGAGACGTGCTGAAAGAAGTTGCGATTACGCGACAGCAATACCAGGAATACGGTTCTGGCTGGACTGGGAGGAAATTTTCCGGTGCAGCCTAACCCAAACTTTTGCTTCTCTCTCTCTCCCCCTCTTCCTCCTTTCCTCTTCTTCTTTCCCCTCTTTCTTTCTTTCTTTTTTTTTTTTTTTTTGGGTGCTTTAAAACAATCTCAAGCAACATTTGGGTTGGTTCAGGTTAAGGAAAAGTGTCCACCCCATTTAAAGGAGTTTCTGCTTGTTCGGCAGTTGTTGCGGCGTTTTGCATGTATTGTCATGATACCCTTTTTGCTGGAAGAATTGGACTTGAGGGCAAATGGTTGCATTTGACAACAAAAGAGCATTTGACCCCTACAACTGAGATTGCTGAGATGGAGAAGCTATGTTCCATCCTGTCTAGCGCCACACGAGTATGTGCTACGGGAGTATGTGCTTTGGGAATGAACTCCAATCTCGACTGCAGGCGGGTGTATACCGCGGGACCCAAAAGAGGCACCAACACCTTGTGCATTTGTCCCATCGCTGATTCCATATTTTGGCATGGTACACTCGCTAATGCGCAACTTGATCAAAGTTTATGTGTGAATCAATATTTTAAGCCACTGCTCATGTTCAATCCTCTGGTGTTCATCAGCTGATATCACATACAAGGAGAAGCCTACATAAATACCTCTGAGCACCCCCTATTTGAAACCCCAAGTGCTGATCCATTTTAGAGGTATTTATTTACTCGAGAGCTTTGATTTCTATCCTCACTCAATGTATCAATACCAGGCCAAAGAAAAGTGTTTTTAAATGGGGCACCGCATGTCAGTACCCTGACCATGATTCCCTGATCAAGTCTCAAGCAGTGCGCGTCCTCTTCCATGCTAAATATCCGCGTCGCACTTTCACTCATATGTAGCTGATTTCCGCCGAAAGGTGCGCCCTATTCCTACGGAGTCTAACATCAGCCCCCTTCTTCAGTAACTCCTTTATAACCGCTTTGTGTTTATTTTTTACCGCCCACCATAGGGCGTGTCCATTCACCGCGTTGATAGTTGCCTGACAGCCACGTCGCAGCAACAGATCCACCTTCGCAGTATCGCCATTCTTCGCTGCCAACTCAAAAATCGAACATCCTTCGAGCCAAGGATCAGCAAAGCCCAGCGTGAGCGAAAGTTCCAGAAATGGGAGAAAGCAATGTTGGTTTCTCAAAGCTGGGCGGAGCCCAGTGATAACGGTGTTGAATGGTAAGGAGAAACACTACTTCATAACCCCAGACAAATTCCCGGAGTCACTAGCTGCAATTTATCACCGAGGTCGATCCTCAGTCAGGAGGGAAGGTAATCTTTTGGGACTCGAAATTACGGAGTGTAGGATTTGATGCGAGGCTTGACATGCTGGGAGATTACATATATGCATCATATCTTGCCGGTGCTAGGAGACAGATGTGCAGGGGTCGATGTCAACAGGTAGAATGGCAGTAATCACGCGTATAGTTATGTATCTCAAGGATAATAAAGGCCTAAAGTCGAATTGAATTGTCTCATCGACACTGGAGGACAGGTTTCCGGGGACGTATTCGAACCTGTTATCCGCAACCAAAAGTCGAAGAGACCTAAACTTCCTAGCAAAGCAATGTCAGCTAGTCAAAGTAACTACATCTACAATATCCAATGAAGCGAATCAACTGCATTGAACTGTGTGAGCCGTGGTTCAGTTGTTGTAGTGCTTCCTTCGAGTTTCATGTTATCCTGCATCCAATATACAGCCACTCAAGCAGGTGATATGCAGTTCCTTTGGTGGCTCCGTATATATTTAGTTGCCGCATTGCTGACAAGTAACTCTGGAGGGCTCCCCAAACAAGCATGGACTGCTCTGGATGTCAGCCTGGTTTGATGGAATTCTTCATCATTGAAGCCTGTGCGTTGAGTTGTGATAGAAGTTGGATGCTGTGGGAAATAACGGGCTCCAAACCCAACTGGTTATGGAGTGGTTCAACCGACCAACTTTGTTAACCAACCAACCAACGCTTTCCAACTACTGGGTATTTAACCTGTCATTTCATTGATCTCACTGGTTCAATATCAATCATTCATGGGCAGCCAACTGCTAAGAGTGAGATTTGTCTGTCCACCCTGTGATCCAGGAAGATTCATGGCATGCACATTGATGGGTGTGGTGGGCTGCACAATTATATATGGACATCCATCCAGAACACGTCGAGAGCGGATCTGGAGTCAGGCTGGTGAGCTCGCGTTAAATGGAAGACCAGCAATGCCTCTCATTTGGCGTGTGCCTCGTCCCGCCCAGCTGATTTCGTATTGGGCACGTATTTCCACCCTGCACAGCCTACCGGAACACTCGCTCAGCCGCCGATATTAGCGAGCGCCCTCTTCTAAAGAGCAGCGTTTAGGAATACCCGAGGCGCCGATGCATTCTCGATCGCTATTGGGATGAAAGTCGAGGAGTCGCTTGGGCGCTTCTCCTCGCCCCGACGAGGACAAAGTCGGCCGGCTCGCGCTGAGGCATTTACGGTGTGATGGCTGTGCCATCCAACCGGAATTTGCTTCTTTTGACTTTCTTGAATTCTTCACTGGCGCGCTCGCTCGTTGGTCAGCCTAGCTTCCCCCCACCTGTATGGCTGCTGCCCCTTTGATGCGGAGTTTTCTTTGAAAACTAGCTTGCTTTCTGTTCCCCGGGACGTGCATGAACTAGAGCTACAGGGATGGACGCACGCTGGATTGCCCGTTAGATAGAGAGAACCAGTTAGGGGATTCTGACTCGACGGTCTCTTCCTTCCCGTGCATCAAAGAGACTTGCGGCTCCATGACGGCAGTTTATGTACTCCGTACCAGCCCACGGCCCTTTTTATTTCTCGCAGCTGCGGGCTTTGGTCCTCCTGTACGGAGCACCTTTCCGCTGGTGGTCGCTGATGATGATGTTCTTGATTCTGATGCAGCCTGAATTTTCCCTTCGGCCCTAAGGTTTGTGGCAATTCTTTTGAACGGTGAATGAAGCGCTTGGGTCTGATTTACTCTCAGGTGTGATAATGGGCTGGCTTTCTTGAAAGGCTCATTTAACGATCGTCAGCTATCGACACGCCCCTCGCCATGATTACCAACATTCCCGGCCCTGGGATGTCCCCCGGGCGTCGTCTCTCTTACCACTCTCATCACTCCGAAATTGGCGATCCGCCCTCCGAATGGTTGAGCCCAAACGCATTGAAGGACCTTGATATAGCCGATGAACCACCTGCAGACTGGATGGAGCATCCATGTCCCCCGGAGCTCCTAGATTTTCCGGAGGCCACGGCCCCAGACCTTCTCCAAATACTCAACCTTTCCGTGGAAGCAGACCTGTATCGGAATCATGAATATGAGAAAGAGATCGCCTTTCCTACATTACCAGAAAATCTACTATCGCCGGTTGAACCGCCGGCGAAAAGATCACAGGACCTGCCGAGAAGCGATAGGGTGTCCGAGGTAAGTCGCTCTTCGACTGCCCTCTCCCGACGGAGCTTTACATTTTCAAGGGATGGCGCTTCGACCAAATCTGCGTTTGGGAAGTTTTCTGTAAAAGCTCCAAAGGAGGTGCGGGCGATTTCAGTCTCAATGAAGGGAAAATACTCTGTCCAGTGAGTTCATCCCATATGCATTCTACCTAATATGTGGGCCCAAAGCCCTTCGAAATTTATTGACATTCTTGTTTTCCGCAGAGAATGCGCAAGTTGTTTAGAGGGAATCACCGACAAGAACCTCATTCGCTTGGAATGCCAACATAGATATTGCTTAAAGTGCTTCTCCACCCTCGTCACTACTGCGATGCACAACGAGACTCAGTTTCCTCCGCGATGCTGCCTCCTAGAGATCCCCATAAAAGTAATCCTCCACAACCTGAACAATGCGAACAGGGAACTGTTCAAGGAAAAGACCCATGAGTTCTCGATTCCCGAACAAGATCGGTGGTACTGCCATTCGGCCACCTGCGGGAAATGGATTCCTCCGAAGAAGGTCAAGAGCGGCGCAACCGTGCAAAAGTGTCCATTCTGCAAGATTGAAATATGTGGGATGTGTCGTGGTCCCGTGCACGTGAGTCTTCTAGACTGTCCAGGGGATATTGGCTTGGAAGCTACTCTTGAAGAGGCCGATTTATGCGGCTGGCGACGATGTCCCCAATGTCGTGCTATGGTTGAATTGATTTCAGGATGTCGCCATATGATCTGCAAATGTAGAGCGCAATTCTGGTGCGTACAGCTTCTCAGAGTGCCCTCAATTAACACATTTTATGTTGATCACTAAGCAATATACATGGTGTAGTTATACATGTGGTGCACGATGGCGTACGTGCCAGTGTACGGAGGTTGACCAACGGCGCCGAGAAGAAGAACTACAGGATCGACGATTCGAGAGGAATGCGGCGGCGGAATTAGAAGCTCGGGAACTTGCCGACGCATTGGCTGAGATCGAACGGCTGGAACAGCGTGAAGCTGAGGAAATAGTGCGGCGGGAAGAGGCGCGAAGACGGGCAGAGGAAGAGGAGGCGCGTGAAAGGGAAGCCCAACGGATGATGGCGATAGCTGAGTCGACACGGAATATGCGCCTGGCGCTTGACAGAATTAATAAGTTACAGCAAACAGTATTAATCAAGAGGCACGAAGCGGATGCGAGTTCCCTGCAGGAGAAGCTACAAGACCAGATGAAGCAATTTGAGCTTAGAAGACAGCGGCTGGAGTCTGCTCTCCGGTCAAATGTGGAAAAACGCACAAAGATGCTTGCTTCGTCCCACGACGCAGAAATTAAGGAGCTGACCTTGAAACATGAGGAAGAAGAGGATGAAATGTTCATTAGCCTGTCAAGACATTTGAAAAATAAGCCGAATCGGGAAGAGCGCGAGAAGTCCTGCATGGACAAACTTAAAGCCTTGCAGGATGAGAAAATCGCTGCCATGTACAAGGCTCACGAAGAAGCGCGGAATGAACTGGAGTTGAAAACCGAGATAGAGAACAAGTCATTGGAAGCAGCGTTAGTTAAGGAACAAAGTTCTTTTCCGAGTATCGACCGTCGTGTTGATCTCGCCAAAC